CATGTCAAGGTGGCAGGGGTGGGGTGGGGGTGTTGTTCCTCTTAGTAGGGATGAGTTGCATCCAATGAGAGTACCCTGCTGGGTTCAAGAAGAGGACACCACTCCAGACATACCCTAATTTTCTTTTCGGTGTTCCTTAGTTTCCTCTAGGTGTGGGCAAGCAGGTTCTGTGGCTACCACACTTGAGCTGAGGGTCTTATCCCAGCCAGTCTCACATCCCCTGCCTGCCCATTAGTGGCTGCTGCTGCTTCATCCTCCTGCTGGCTGTAGTTTTCTGTAACAACTTTGGCATTTCTATTTTTATCGATGACTTTTCTTCAGTCAAGATCAAATCCTGAGTGTGCATTACCACAAAATCCTGAACCCGAGAATCTCTCTCAACCTTCCCAATCCCTTGCAAAACACTTCTGAAATGGGTGTAAAATGCTTACATAATTTAGAGATCCATTCAATGAACATATTTACACGGAATCAAATGTGTAGAGTGGCCCAAATTATATTATGTTATATTAACTTATGCCACTTTTTTCTTTTCTATATAATCATAAGCAAAGTTGGAGTCATTTGCTAGAACAGACCTCCTCTCCTCTCCTCTTCTCTCCTCTCCTTTCCTCTCCTCCCCTCTCCTCTCTCCTCCCCTCTCCTCCCCTCCCCTCTCCTGTCCTCTCCTCTCCTCTCCTCTCCTCTCCTCTCCTCTCCTCCCCTCTCCTCTCCTCTCTCCTCTCTCCTCTTCTCTCTCTTCCCCTCTCCTCCCCTCCCCTCTCCAGTCTCCTCCCCTCTCTCCTCCCTCTCTCCTCCCTCTCCTCTCTCCTCCCTCTCCTCTTCTCCTCCCCTCTCCTCCCCTCTCTCCTCCCCTCTCCTGTCCTCTCCTCTCCCCCCCTCCTCTCTCCTCCCCTCTCCTGTCCTCTCCTCTCCTATCCTTGCCTCTTCCTCCTCCTCTCTCTCCTCTCTTCTTCCCCCTTACTTTTGGATAAGGATGTAAGTAAGCCTCCAGCCACTGCTCCAGTGCCACGCCTTCTGTCACATTCCCCATCATGATGGTCATGGACTCTAACTCTCTGAAACTGTAAGCCCCGAATGAACACTTTCTTTTATAGATTATTTTGGTCATGGTGTCTTATCACAGCAATTAAAAAAATCAACCAAGATGGCTATTTGCAATATGTTCATGCAGAATCCTTTATAAAATATGAAGTGCAAATGCTCTCTTAAATACTTCCACGTACCTCTAGCTGTCTCTCCTCAAAGGAATTAAAGTTAGCCCAAGATACTTCTGGCTCTGAATTCGCAATATTCCATCCCCCACACTTGAATTTCTAATGAGTCAGAGAGTTTAAAACTCTTTCACACAGGTGTAGCACTCTATTTCTGGGAGGTTTTGTTCATAGGCTCCATATCTCCTGTTTTCTTATTATCTAAGTGGTTCTCTGTCTCTTAAATGTCTGTTCTCACCCTTAAAATGTATTTGCTCAGATCTAATCCTGAGCCCGCTTCTTCTGCACCCTCTCCTTTGTAAAGCTTATGGTTTCAAATATCATAAAAGCAGTGCTGGTGAGAGCAGCTTGATGGGTAAGGGTACTTCCCACACAAACTTGGCAAGTTAAGCTTGATCTCTGGAATCTACATAAAGGTAAAAACAGAAAAATAACTCCATAAAGTTGTTTGCTGACCTCAATATGCATATAATGCCCCCCTCTCCCTGCTTTCCTTCTCCCTCTCCCCCTCCTCTCTCTCTTCAAATGTACCATAGAAATGCTATTACACTCTTTCCTTCCAACTTTAATACATAACAGAGTCTGAATATCACATACCTCTCTGATATCTCAGACAGACCTCACACAGGCATCTTGAATCCAATGCCTAGAGCAAGACGTATGACTAATTGCCTGCCCCCACCACACATGCTAACCATTCTTTCCCACCGTCTTCCTCCAGCATCCCCAACACAGCACACTGGACTGAAAAAGCAATGCAAATGTGAAAAATAAGAGTCACCCCTGGTTTTCTTTTCCCCCCATTCTCAAAACCCAGCGAGTCAGTATTTTCACCATTTCTGCTGCCATCTGGATCCTATCGCCTTTTACGTCTGCAAGTGCTAGCTTGCTTCCTGGCATGACTTCTTTGGTCCTCTCCACCTTCCCCATGACATGGAACAAAGATGCAAATAGCACTGAAGTCTTGCACAAGAGCTACCCTTTCTGATTTTAGCTGCTTCCCGTTGCTGTGCTAAAACACCACGACTGAAAGCAATTTGGGGACATGTGATGATTTGAACAGGAATACCCCCATAGCTCATGGCATTTACACTTGGACCCTAGCTGGGGCAGTGTTTGGGGGACGTTTAGGAGGTGCTGTCCTGTTGGAGGATGTATGTCACTAGAGGTGGGCTTTGAGAGTTTAAAGATGCACGCCATTCCCAATTTGTTCTTCCTGCTTCATGCTTGTGGTTCAAGATGTGAGCTTGGCTTCCTGATCTCGACACTGTGCCTATTGCTTATGGCCATACTTTGCTCAGCACCAGACATTCTTATTACTCTGGAACCGTAGCCCAAATAAACTTTTTCTCCTATGAGTTGCCTTGGTCTTGGTGTTTCATCACAGCAACACAAAAGTAACTAACGCATGAAGGAGCATGTCCATTTAGCTTGCCCTTCCATGTCTGTCACTGAGGAAAGTCAGGTCAGGAACTCAAGCAAGGGCCTGTGGCAGGGACTAAGGCAGCGGTCGTGGAAGAATGCTGCTTACTGGCTTATGTCTCACGCTCACAAAATTGTCAAAAGAATAAAATTTCTTAATAAAATACCTTGCATTTTTTTAGTCAGGAAAAATTACTTCATCCTAATATTTTAGTTATCTTCTAAAAGAGAGCTATTACTCTCTGCCTGGACTTCCGTTACAGCAGCAGAGGTTTCTTTGAGGGTCTTTGACAAGGTGGTTAGCCTCCCATTCGGAAGCCTCCTCACTGGTTTCTCACCACTATACTATGAAATGTGCTATCTCTGCGAAGACACTGGATGCTCTGAACTCTACCAGCTGATAGACATCATTCACTGTATCTTAAACAACTACCTCTTCACCGGCTTCCTTTCGACACAACTGGATTTCCTCTCTGCCTAAACATATTCACTTTTCATTCACTCTTTGGGGTTTTCTGTTTGTTTTCTGTTACCCATTAAAATATATGTGTCATTATTGAGTGATCCCAATTCAGGGCCTAGCATCAGGGCCTATTATACATCAATTGAATACATAACCAGACTCCATATTGTTTGATATATCTTATTATATTATTCAGTCCTCAAAGCATCTGCATATGATAATTACTAACTTTTGAAACTAACAGATGAGGCAGAAGAAAAGTCAAAGAGGTTAACTTTTCAAATACAATTTACAAAACTGGGTCTTGTTTGAATGCAGAGTTATCTAAAACCAAAGTTGGGATATTTGTCCATATACTTTGCTTGTATTAAGAAAATCCATTAAACAATAATGTAAATGAATAACATTCATAATTAGGAAAATGGAGATGCAGGCTGAAGAGAGTACTTCCCTTTTCCAAGGATTTATTAAAGACTATTTTACAGCTTAAAGATTATTTTGGTTGTGAGCCTAGCCTTTAACAGCTGAGCCATCTCTCCAGCCCTAAAGATTATTTTGAATGATATGTATGCTTCTATTTTATTTAGAAAGTCTTTTTCCAAGAAAATAAAATTGTACCATATAATAAATATTTGAAAATTATATTATATCATTTAAAACATCACTTTTAAAGGGAATGATTTCAGAGGTTGGCAGCATGGCTCAGTTGGTAAAGGTCAAGCCTGATGACCTGAGTGCAATTCCTGGGATCCACGTAGTGGAAGAAGACCACAGACTCCCACAGGTTGTCCTCTGATGTTCATGCATGCTCTGTGTCATGCATGTACCCATGCACATGCCTACATACAAAAATAAATAAATGTGATGAAACATTTAAGAGCAATTTTAGATCTTCTTGAGATCTAAATCTATTTTGGAATAGATTTCCCTCTACAAATGTAAAGTTGTTGCATAGGTAAGCAAATAGGATTATTAAAGCATATGTCTAATAATGTACTAGTAGGACAGGCAGTGGAAGGTGAACAGATATGTGAGAGAGATGGGTCAGGTCGAAAAATAGAGTGGTATGGACTCTGTGGAGAGAGGCAGAACGGGAGACTCCACAACGATGAGGACAAAACTGATGTGGGTGGCCTATATTGCAACCTGAGACCATAGTGATGTCCATGTCTATGCTGCTGCCCAGGACATGTCTGGGTCCTGCTGAACTGGGGTCTGTGTTGATTGATGTCCATTGCCCATATCACCACCCAAAGCCAGCAGATGTCCCCGGTCTTTACTGCTGCCTGAAGCCATGTAGAAGTCCTTGGCCCAGCCTGCCTCCAAGGACCTTGCTATGGCCATGTTCATAGTCTGTGCTGTCACCAGAAACCATGTGAAAGCCCATTGTTCATGCTCCCATTGTCTATAAACAGGAGGCTACTTTTGCAGTGAGATCTATGGTTGCAGACAAACAGTTGAGAAAGAGGGACATGCAGATCTTCTGTGACAAGTCCTACCTCCCCAATCCCCCCAAAGTAACAGCCTAAATAAGAAGCCATCAAAAAGACCTCTTAAAATGTGTGATAAGGATGCTGAGGTTAGCACTCCGCAGCTGATGACTTCTGGTGGGTGTGTGGGAGAGAAACAACTCAGTTCTATTTAAGGGCCAGGCCACTGAGAGTTTGACCATGCTCCAGATAACACAAATTGAAGTTGGACTTTTTTCTATTTTTTAAAGATTTTTATTCTTACTTTTTATTTTGGGGGGTGAGAGGACATGGAAGACTGGGAACTGAGTGTGATGGGATACATGATGAAATTCCCAAAGAATCAACAAAATGTTTTGCCAAAATATTTAGTAGAAGTAGAGAAATTAAAGTCGTTTTTAAATCATTTTTTGTGTGTTTGGATTTCCTTAGAGCCAAAAAGAGAAAATCTAAAATTGAGTCCTAGAGCTCTTCGTTATCTTAAGGATCAAACTGAGGTAAGTGTAATTTGCATATTGGTAACTACTTAAACAGTTATTTAAGCTAGTTCAAATAATTTTGTTTGTACGTATCACAACTTAAGTGAAGTTTAGAATTCAAAAGTAAAAAAATGTAAAGCAATTTCATCTGATGCCATATAAAGTCACATAAAGTCATGTGTATGAAGACAACACAAAAATTATGTGTAAGCAGGCAGACCTCTGTAAGTTCAAGGCCAGCCTGGTCTACAGAGCAAGTTCTAGGACAGGCTCTAAAGCTACACAGAGAAACCCTGTCTAGAAAAATAAAAAACAAACAAAAAATTATGCATAAGCTAAAGCTATACACATCTAGTTTGAACATTTACTTAAACTTATAAACCCATAAACCTGTTGATCTGTTCACATGTATCTCAGACAAGTTTTTGAGCTATTGTTAGATGATAGAGTTACAATAACTTGAGGGACTTCACCTGCATTCTGAAAACTTGCCCTGTTCAGACAATGAGCATGCACCCCACCGCTCTCAGCAGGTCATACCTAGGGGACTAGAGAGATAAGTTAACCCAGAGAATCAGCGAGGGTAAACTACTTTAGAGTCTTTTAAGTCTGCATTGGTTTGCTTTTAACTATTACTGACACAGAGAGAGAAACATGAAATTATGCCTGCTTACTGATGATCATTAGTAACTATTATTTTTGATCCTTTAGGGGGCAGTACTGGTGTTGTATTGAGCTTAGAGCTTCATATGTTCTAGGAAAGTCTTCAACCACTACTGAGCTATGCCCCCAGCCATATGCCTGTTATTTTTGTTTCACACTCTTAAATTTTAAAATTAAAAAAACATTAATAGTATCCATGCCCCAGGTTACAGGTGTATTCTTATCCATATGTTTAAATTCCCGCTTAATAAAAATCTCCCAAGAAATGTATAGCATCATAGTTTGCTCATCATAATAATTTGCTAGCCATGTTAGTTGAGATATGCAAAATTTTAATGGTTAAAATTAACCAGGACCTTCTCTTTATCAGTATTATTCTGCATGAACTTGAGGATGCACCTAGTGTTTTAGTTTCTTTTCCTAATGCCATCATAAAACAACAGGACAAAACTGACTTAAGGAAAGGGGGTTTATGCTGGTTCCCAGTTCCAGAGAAATCAGGAGTGTCACAGAAGAGGAGGCAAGGCAGGGAAGGCACGATGGCAGCTCAGGAGACTGGCTGCTCTCATCAAATCTACTCTCAGGAAGCAGAGCATGAACACGAAGCCTCCGCTTCCTCCAGTGAAGCCCAAACTCCCGGAGGTCCACAGACCACCCAAACAACACCAGCAGCTGGGCTCTTAGAGTGAGCCCGTGCGAATACTTCCTAGTCAAACCACAGCAGCGTGGCATGGCTATTTTACTTCAAACGGTTCTGTTTTGTGCTCAGTGGACTATGACTTAAACTCAAATATACAAGCATGGGTCCCCACAGAGTCCAGAAGAGGCTGCCCCCTGGAGATGGATTACATACAGGCAGTTGTGACCTACCAAATGTGGGTTCTGGGAGCTGAGGTCCCCCGCAAAAACAGTAAGCATTCTTAATCACTGAGCCATCTCTTTGGTCCCCTGAGGGCCTTTAAAGTGGTTCAGTGTGGTGCTTAGAGTGATAATTCATTTGGGTTTATTGTTTAGATAAATAATGGCGATGCTGAATAAAATTAGGTTAATTTTGATTATTGTATTTTCACTCATTTTGAAAAGACTGTTTTATTTTATCCTAAGATTTCTTCATTGAGGTGTATTGTAGAATTTCCACATATTTAAATTTTTCCATATTAAAATTTTTCCAGATATATAGCAATGTTTGATAGCTAATTTAATTCTATTTTTAATCAGGGAACATATTCTGTGGCATTTTAGACTTAAACTTCCATTAAGACTTGTTGAGATTGTCTATTTAAGAATACTTAAATATTTGTAAAATACAACTTTATATAAATATCTTGGGCTTTTCACATGTACATGATGCTTTCAATGTCAGACTATATATTAAGACTTTCAACAGCTTTCTGCCCAGTTTGAATTTCTGCCCTGACTTCCCTCAGTGACAGCTGAACAGCTGTGGAACTGTAAGTTGAAACACACCCTTTCCTCCCCAGGAGACTTTTGGCAATGTGTTTTAGGAGAGAAATAAAAACCCCAACTGAGACAGAATTGCTTTTATTTACCTAATGGTTTCTTTTAATTAGAATGATTCATTTACGAACATTTAATGTAATTATTATAACTGGTAGTGGTTTAGCCTACTGTTTTACTTTTTGTTGGTCTCCTGACTAGTTACATTTCTTGTTTCTGAAAGAAGCAAATTAAGGAAGAAAAGATTGATTGGGGTTTATGGTTTAAGGGGATATAGACCACCACCATGGGGAAGGCATGGCAGCACAGACTTGCTCAGATCTGGGCAAACCAGAAATCAGAGCCAGAGCTGGAAGAAGGATCAGCCTAGGGGCCTTACCCCACAGTGACTCAGTTCTTTCAGCTAAGCCTCACGTCTTAAAGCTACGGTTCTCAACCTGTGGGTTATGACCCTTTGGGAGGGGTCACATATCAGATATGCTGCATATCAGATATTTACATTATGATTCATAACAGTAGCAAAATTACAGTTATGAAGTAGCAATGAAATAATTAATGTTTGAGGGTCACTACAACATGAGGAACTGTATTAAAGGGTCACAGAATTAAGGTTAAGAACTGTCTTGAGGGTTCCACAACCTACCGAAAAAGCATCACCAGCTGGGGGCCAAATTTTGAAGCAAATGAGCATGTAGAGAACATTTTAAATCTAAACCATAACATTCCACTGTATTCGATCCAGCCTCAAATATCCCCAGAGTCTTACAGTTCTAACACTGTCCGAAAGTCTAAAGTTTCTTCTGAGACTGGAAGTAATCCTTTAGCTGTGTACCCTTCCCAACATACAATGGCATAAAGTAAAAATTCCCATCCCAACAGGAGGATGGCAAGAAATAATTGGATCAAAGTAAGACTGGCATTTACTCAGTAAAGTAAATGCCAAACCCTGTAGCTCCACATCTACTATCTGGAGCTCTCTTAGTCTCCAGCATGCTATGGGTAGCCTTGTCTTCAACTCTATTGCCTGTGACACATATGACCTCTCTCTTGGGTTACTCAGTACCTCCAGGTTTCCTCAGAAAACAGATTATGTGTCTGGTATCTCCATTATCCCAGGGATATGACCAATCCACTTAGGAGCTCCATGAAGGGAATCCAACTTTGCTATATATTACCTAGTCTCAATGAGTCTTTGGAACCTTCGAGCAAGCTTCCATGATCACCCCACCCTGCCAGTCTTGCACCCTTCCTGACTGGAAAAGCAGCGCCACATAGATGATACCATGTTCTGCTGCTCACTAAAGATGATTTATTGCCTCCTTTTAAGGTTGCAGTAGTCTTTGTTTGAGCTTATGCTTGACTGAACTTGGGAAAATATTTTCCTAATAGTCATTGCTGGAGTAGCATTCCTAGCAATCTCTCTTGGTTTAGGCACTCTGTTTTCAAATGAAATCACTTCAAATGTGTCTGTGTTGCTACATACTCGAAGTTTTGATGAGTTGAGTCTTATCCTTAAGGCATTTTGTCCATTGTCTCTGTGCAAAGTGGGAATTTTATTCATAATTGTGCTAATCTTTAAAATTACATTTATCTGAGCGATGGTGGCACATGCTTTTAATCCCAGCACTGGGGAGGCAGAGGTAGGCAGATTTCTGCAAGTCCAGGCAACCTGGTCTACAGATTGAGCTCCAGGACAGCCAGGGCTACATGGTGAAACCTTGTCTTGAAAATGTCCCAAAAAATTACAAACATTTGTTTTGGACACACCTTGACCACAATTTTCATAATGCCTGTGTCCAATTCCTCATCAAATTGAACACTGTTCATATATATATATATATATATATCTGCTACAGTTTTTATTTTATGTTAATTTTATTCATATATGATATCTTCAACTCTTACCAATTACCCTCAACATCTCCCCTCCCAACTTCATGTTCTCTTCTATTTTTTTTAACTACTGATTCCAATTAGTTCTGCCCAGTTGTGCATGGTACAGGGCCATCCATAGAAGCATGTAAAGCCTACTAGTAACCACAACCCTACAAAAGAATAATTTCCCCTCCTGCCCCATACACACAACTATAAACTGCCAATAGCTCCCTGGTTCGCGATAGAACCATTTGAAGTCTTCTACCCACACTAGAATTCTGGTTGGCTTGATCTTGTACAGGTCTTGTGCAGATAACCAAAGATGCTGTGAATTCATGAGTGCAATAGCCATGTCGTGTCCAGAAGACAGCATTTCGTAGCTCTCATCTACATCCTACAGCTCTTACATTCTTTCAACTCCCTTTCCATAATGTTCACTGAGCTTTGGTTGAAGAACAGAAAGCATAACGATACTGAAAGTAGAGCCAGGCCATGTAAATAAACCTCAAGACTCATCTGCCAGGAACCTACATTCTCCACCTATATCCCATTTCCACGACAACCATACATACAAACACATGAGCCCGTGAAGAACATGTCACAGTCAAATCTAATTTTCCTTCTGTTTATTGTTCCTCTGTTCCCTTTGTCCTGCCACCTTTGAGATTATTTAAATTTATATTGTCTTAGTTGCTTTTCTATTGCTGTGAAGAGACACCATGACCAAGGCAATGTACAAGATAGATATTTAATTGGGACTTGCTTACAGTTTCAGAGGGTTTGTCCATGACCACAGTGTGGGATCAGTAGCTGAGTTTACATCTGATCCACAAGCAAGGGGGCAGGACAGAAAGGATAGAAAGAGAGAGAGGGCAGAGGGAGCTAGTCAGTAATGGCATAGGCTTTTTTTTTACCTCAAAACCTGCCCCATTGACACAGCTTCTTAAACAAGGCCATACCCCCTAATCCTTCCCAAAACTGTCCACCAGTTAGGGGTCAAACATTCAAATATATAACCCTAT